TCCCCCCCCCCCCCCCCCCACGATCATTGAAAGCATAATAATGAATGCGAGAAATTGTTGTCCTTGGATTTATTTGAAACAATAATAATGAAAATCTTTTTGTATATCTGTTGTCCAGGTGATGAGACCATGATGCTTCTCCCGGCACGGTGAGGCTCCCAAGGCCTCGTGGGATATCGTGCTGCCCTGCCATGACCACTAAAGTGGTGGACTTCCTCAACGAATCGGGTGGCAGCAACTTCACGGAGACAGCCCCGCGGCCCCCAGTCTACGGCGAGGAGAACGAGCTTCAGTCCAATGGGGGCAACTCCACCCGCAGTGGCAGCTCACACAAGAGCCATGTCTCCAGCAAATCCCACTCGTCTTCCAAAAGTGGGACCTCCACCAAGGGGGACCACTCGCACTCGCCCGCCATGACGCCCCGGAAGTCCAACCTGGAAGGCATCAAGTCGTCGGACACCGTGACCGGCCAATCACAGTCGAGCCTCTGCGAGTACGAGGAGAATGAGATGAGTGCGCCTCTGGGGTTCCACCCGGAAGGCAGCGCCGCCAACTCACCTCCGTACTCGGAGAACGGAACCCCTCCGCATCTGAAGTGGGCACAGAATCTGAAATATCTCCTTGACGATTCGGAAGGTGTAGAGCTGTTCAAGGAGTTCATGGAGCGTGAGCTGGAAGGTGGTTCCGAGGAGCTTCAGTTCTGGTTTGCGTGCCAAGGTTTGAAGCGGAAAATCGACTCGGATTCGTTGGATAACACGGATAGTACCATAACGAACATACAGAAAGCTATCTACAAGCGGTATGTGCGAAGTGATAAAGTGAAATGCATATCAAGGGATGTGAAGAAGGATATAGCGGATAAAGTGTCTAGCAAAAGCAGTTTAGACCACTGCATTTTCGATGCGGCGCAGGAAGAGGTGGAGACGTTCATGCGGGATGTGACGTACCCAGCCTTCTTGCGCTCGGATTATTACGTGCAATATGTTCAGAATTACGGTGATAGTCCTAAATCAAGCCAGTCAAGTGGTTCCAATAGTGCCCGGCCTGTGTCCCAGTCGGGCCTGCTGCCCGTGGTCCACGAGGACAAAGAGCTGGAGACCAGAGACATTAGTGGACACATGCCTTTGCCTGTGATCAATAAGGCGCCGTCTTCGGTGAAAAGAACGGATACGGCTGTGGTGTCTGCCAGACGGACAGAAACGGTCACAGGGTAAGTACTTTCTCTTTTGTCTGCGTGTGCTTCTTCTTTTTTGTGTTTCTTTTGAAAAAGTTTGAAGTAAGAGCTTTACAGCCCTTGCGACACAATTTGGTAAATAAGTGTGAAGAACTATTTGATAAGTGCGAAGATTAGAGGTGTTAATGGAGAGTAATGTGTAAAGTAAAGGAAAGGAGGGGAAAGAAGGATGATATTTATTTACGTTTAGTTTTATAGGAAAGTAGCAAACCACACCAGGGCACCTGCCAACCACCCACTACCAGATTTTTAAAATCATTTGTTTTATTTATAAAGAAGTTTTTTTGGGTAAAAATAAGGTACATGATGTTTTGAGGTTATTGCCCTTTTAGTATAGAATCAGGTGGTAGGTTGTACGTCTTTTCTTTACAAATGTTGTCAATCGACTGGGGTGGTTGGGAAGTGCTCTGGTGTGGTTTGCTTCTTCTTTCCTATGAGACATCTGTCACCATCCTTATCTCCCCTTCTTCTTTTTTATGTTTGTTACTCTCTTGTTACACCTCTAATCTTCTGGCGCTCATATGACCTTTATGCAGTTGCGAGCCCTGTAAAACCTTTACTAAAACTAACTAAAAACTAAGCTTTCAAGTCGTTGTTCTGCTTTTTACTAAAAAGCCTTTCTCTTAATAGAATTTTGATTTGTGGCTTGGGTTCTTTCAAAGGATAGTTTGGATTTTTTCCCCCTTTAGCAGGCAGGGGTCATTTTGTTGTACATCTGTTTTCTTTATCTCTTGATGCAGATTTTTGTTTTTTGTTAAACTTTCCTGTGGTTGTGTAATGCCACCTTGTTACAGGGCTTTTCCCATCTTAGTTTTTTAATGGTTGGGCGGTGGGTACTCTAGTATGGTTTGCTCCTACCTAATCTTTGGCACTTACGCCGCATGTTTGACCTATTTTGTGTTGCAAGTGCCGTAGAATTCTTACTAGAACTAAACATACTTTTTTTGGTTTTGCTCAAGTATCTTTCTTTTTTGGGGGGGGTTCTGTTTTCTTTCTTGTTCCGGTAATCGATGCACTCATGGATGCATTTGTCTGTACTTTCGTGGTCTTGATGTTTTATTGTCAGGAAAGGAGGGGAGGGGGGGGGGGGTAGTAGTGGGAAGTGTGGAGTTGTCAGTCTTGGAGGGGATGGGTGCCTGTTACAGAGAAGTCTAAGACATTGGAGGGACGACAGGCGACAACTGGTGAATTTCCTGAGGTGCTTTCATTCTTTATGCTATTTGCTGGGCTGGAAGTCGGTTTGATCTTTTTATTTGTGTAATGATTTGACATAGAAGGGGCACTAAATAACCCTCTGTTCTGAGCACATCAAAGCAATTGAAATTCCTTTGAAGCTGATGATCAAAACGCTCCTGATGTTTTTGTAGCTGAAAGCAATTTAAAGAGAGACAGCCACTAAGATCATTAAAAGGGGAACATTTTTATTATGGTTTGACTGGTATTTGACATAGCCTATTGTTGTATGGCCGTGCGGCTGTCATGTCGCTCATTGATCGCCAGGCGTCCTCCCAGTGCGGGCTTATTGTTGACGTTCATGCAGTGTTGTGAAGGCTTCGGCTCTTTTTACTTCCCCTTAGGCCCTGACACGTTGTTCACTTCATTTTCCTATCCCCATCAGACTTGCTAAATAGGTGAAAGAACAGGGGGAAGACTTTGATGTTCCCCGGGGTTTTGTATAACCTTTCATTGTCTTTTTAAAAATAGTTTTTCTTTTTTTTGTTCTTGTGAGGGAAAGTCTACTCTTTCATTCATTTCTTTGAGTGTGTTTTGTAAAAAAGGACTGGATTTTCTTGTTGTGTAGCAACGCGTTCTCTTTGCTTTCATTTGTCTTGTCCTGCTTTGTCTTCAGTGCATTTCTCATTTCAGATATAATAATCTTCGTAAAATTTCTTTTTAATGGCCAGCTCACAGGTTTTCCTCATTTCTTCCTTTTAATGGTCTACTTGAGCGCATCATTGAACGCTGCCTTACCCTGCTTTCTCCAACGTTTATTGCTTAAAAAGCACCACGTCACAGCTGTGCGGGGGGAAGGGGGGTGGTGGTGGTGGGGTGATGGGGG